GGAATTATTCTTGGTTCCAGAACTGATCTTCATGTTCAGAGTGTAACGATGACAGGTCACATCTATAGGGATGTCATTCTGGAACAACATGTACGTTTGTTTCGGGGAGCCATGGGTGCTGAATTTCTGTTTATGGACGACAACGCCCGTCCTCACCGTGCAAACATTGTAGACGAATGCCTTCAATCGGAGGATATCACCCGTATGGATTGGCCAGCATACTCACCGGACTTGAATCCAATAGAGCATGTGTGGGATATGCTTGGCCGACGAATTGCAGACCGTCAACCCCCTCCCACCTGTCTACCAGACTTTCGGAGGGCATTGCTAGATGATTGGTGTAATATTCCCCAAGATTAGATTGATAATTTGATACTCAGCATGCCTAGGCGTTGTACGGCCTGTATTGCATCGTCCGGGATACAACTCGTATTAACCATCATATTAACCATGTTATACTGTTTTTTGTAAATAGGTTCTTTTTTTGAATTTGCACCAGGGAGTAAAAATCGCAATTTTTATTAATTATATCAAACATATAACATCTTTTTTGCTCTTTACCTTTTGTTTAATACATAGACTTTACAAATAAGTCAAATTTGTTTGGCTTCTGCTTCTTTCTGTGCCTGAACTTCATTATCCTTAATTTATGGACATGAGTGTATATTAAAAGCCCTTAAAGGTGATTTTTTTTTATTGGGTGTTTTTAAAAAGTGCTTAATTTTCCCTTTTTGGAAAATGAGACTTTTTTCTTTATCATGGCGCTTTTCGCCACGTATTATGCAAAAGCGTGCTTTTCATTTTGTTCTATTCAACTTTTTCTTAATTCATTCAACCACAATCTATTTCAGCTTACCGTAGGTCCGAAGCGTATGAAAGCACCAATCGTTTTACATGTTTGATGAAATACTTGCGGGTCCGCTTATGCTTCTACTGAGTTGGGTTTGGTGAGATTCTTGCTCTCTCAGGCCAAATTTAACTTCAACTCAACACATAATGAGCATTTGAGAAAATAATAAGAATATATATGTGTAATTTAAATTCTTGCTAAGAAATTTTCTAAGTAATTCAAAACTGTTCTTGTATTAAAGAAAAATCTTATGCTTGAATGATAAAAGAAATATATATTCCTTTTTCATGTTCATGAATTTTATGAGACACTTTCATCAATTTATTTTGTTGGTTAATTCGTATCCATGATTTGACATAGCAAGCACAAAACCAGAAAAATATACACCTGATTATTTGAAAATTATTCATACATTAGGATACTTAATGTGTAACTCGTGCGTGAATAAATAAAATTTATCTTTTGCAAAAGAATATTCGGTAGCACATCTTGGAGGAAAAAGAAATTAAAGAAACTTCTTCAAGAAACAAAACTTTGCTCGTGAAATTAAATGAATAACAAGATCGTGTTTCTAAAGTATACTGTATATATATAAATAAAAAAAAAGAAGAAAAAAATTAGAAACTTAAGAAGCATAAAACATAACTCAAGAAGGCATGACACTTTTTAGCCAAACGATATTTTCCAGTTCTTGCTTCTCGCTCGCTCAGCAAAAACTTTAGCCATCTCGCGGATTCTAAACAAACCCTAGCGATGTTTCTAAAATGATAATTTCGTAGTAAGGGGGGGTGGAATATTTTTAAAACGTTATTGTGTTTTGTTAACCAAAACAAAAAGGTGAAAAGAAAAAGGAAGCGCTGCAAAAGAAAAGAGTAGATATAAAAAATGAGACATGTTGCTAAAATTAATAGTTTTCAGTTTAATCACGTTTTTGTGCGAGGCAAGAACGTGCGTTACGCATTAAGAACTCGTGGAAGGGGGTGGAATTGCGCCCCGGAAAAGGGGGGGAAATCCAGAGTTTTTTTTAATTTTATTTCTTCTTTTTTTTGCTTCAGTTTTTTTGTTATTAATCACTAAATAACGGCCCTAGTAGATGGGAGACATCATTCTTTACAGCTGCATTATTTACAACCATTAAGAAAATCGAGAAGTGCTCCCACGAAAACGATTCCCCACCCCACCCCCTTCTCAATAGAAATTATGAGACAAAATGTAAATGTTCTTGTACCGTAGAATTAAAGGTAATGTTTTAATTTAACTTTCTGTTAAGCCAAATGAAAATAATGATCGATAATAGCATCTTATTCAAAGTTAATTACGATTAGGTGTTTAAAACTGTTATTTCCCAATTTTAAAGTTTGTGAAAATTCTTAATTCGAATAAGAAATTTGTTCTAAGATCAATCTTTTGGTTTTGAATGGTTTGCAAACTGTACTTGTAGAAGTGTAGTGTATATATATATATATATATATATAGAAATGAAGCTTTTCCAAATAACAACTTAGATAATTCGATAACAAAACAAAGATAGAAAAGAAATATTTTTTAAGGCAATTTTCACAGTTTATGTATTATAAATCAGATATAAGAGCTTATAATTAAGTGATTTTTGTTATCAAAGTTAGATGAATTAAAAATTGAAAAAAAAAACAAAACAAAGCATTTTACAAGTTAACTGATAAAAAATGTAGTTTTAATATTGAGGAAAACTCAATCTATAAATTTTATATCCATGTATATATA